ATATGGACTGGTCACATATGGCTCTTCAAACTGGCAACCGCACCTCTACGAGGAATAGCATTAGCGATTAGCATCAAGCTAATTATTCATTCGGATTAAGCTAGCTGTTAAATGCCAAAGCACGGTGTTTTAACAATAGAAAATGTAGGTCGTACTTCATTTGTCATCCATACATCTAGCTAAGGCTCATATAATTGACAATTGCTTATAAAAACACCGTACTTAATGATTGTGCTAACAGCGAAGAACTCACCTCGCGCCCGTCTCGCATATAATGGCGAAAAATACTGTTTGTGTTGAAGGTGGTTAGAAATCCTTATAAGTAAATTAAAATGATTAGATATGGCAATATATCTTAGTATATAAGCTTCTAACACAATAATATATATAATCCAATATAAGGCAAAGGGCTAGAATGTGTAAATTATGTGTGGTTCAAAGTTATATTGGGAAAACTTCCTCTCAAGACATTCCTCTCAAAAACAGGGTTGTTTTGACTACCACATTCACCCAATGTTGTAATATTGCAACAATTACAAAACAAGCTCTAGATAAAGTGTAGGGCACATTTTCCACAGTAACTACATATTTACATGTTGTAGACACTGTAATAAACACAGAAAGAAATATGCAAAGCTTTTTACTTACTTCAATTAGATAAATCCAGTCCAGTAAATCGAGGGAATGATGCTCAAGCAAAAATCTGGAGGTTGTGTGACTTCATCACCTGAGGGCAGGCCTTGTATACAAATGTAGGACCCAATAGCATTGTGAGACGAAACAACATGACTCAATGAGTATGTTAATGCAGTTGAACCCAAAAAAAAAAAAAAAAAGGTTTATTTTGGGAGGACAAAAAATGTTGTAATTCTGCAACAGTGGGTCTTACACATTATAAGACGTTTAGCAGGATTGACATGGGGTGCAAATTTTGAATCACTTAAAAATGTGTATGTGTCATTAATTCGATCAAGAATAGATCATGGGAGTGTGGTATATGGTTCAGCGGCAAAAACTAGATTAAAAAAATGAGATGTTATTCAAACTAGAGCATTGAAAATTTGTTTAGGGGCAGTTAAATCAACTCCAATATGTGCTTTACAAATAGAATCAGGAGAAATGCCATTATATATCAGAAGACAACAGTTAATGGTAAATTATTGGATTAATTTAAAAGGACAAAATGAAGATCATCCTCTTAAGAAAGTATTAGAAAATTGTTGGGAAAGAGGAAAGAAACAAATGAATAGTTTTGGGTGGATTGGAGATGATATAGCAAAAATATTCAATGTATATACCAAGGAATTCAGTCCAACAGTTTTGTGGCCTTTGAGACCTACATGGACATGGAAATATATGAATGTAGACAGATCATTATAAAATATATAAGAAAAGAAATATAACAGACATATGTCAAGAATTTTATAATAAAATACAGGAAAAATATAATGACTATTTACAAATGTATACTGATGGTTCAAAAGATCCAAAAAATGAAACAACCAGTGTAGCAGTAGTGATTCCTGAATTAAAGATTAATATTTCAAAAAGAACCTCAAACTATCTAAGTGTATATGCAGTAGAATTATGTGCCATATTATTAGCTTTAGAATGGGTGGAGGATGCTAAAATAAAGAAAACAATAGTTTGCAGTGATTCATTATCTGCATTGTTGAGCATTGAAAAGGGAAGTACAAATAATCATAAAAATATATTATATGAGATTATGATTGTTTATCAAAGATTATGTGAACAAAATAAAAATGTAATATTATTTTGGACTCCTGCTCATGTGGGTATTTTGGGTAATGAAAGAGTAGATAGGTTGGCTAAGGAGGCTATTAAAAAAGAAGATATTGATATGCCAATAAAGTTATCTAAATCTGAAGGAAAAAGTATAGTTTGGAGAGAAAG